CTTACCAACTAAGCTAACCAATCACCATGTTGATGCAGGTCAGTATTATGTCTCTTATTCTCATCTACCATCTAACGGTTGAAAATATTGCTCCGATTCAAAAGTATTTGCCGACCCCTGCAGTATATTAGTACTACTTCTTCTTCTAACGTTTGTATTCAACATAGTGACAAGTGTCTGCACTGCCTGAATTCTACCAGAAGTAGAACAAGAAGAACGTAGTGACAAAACGTGCTCTGTAGCGCTGTTCAGCTACTGTAGAAACATGACGATGCAACATGGAGATATAACCATGGAAGGGGTGCTCGTGGTTATGTAGATAGAAATGTCTCATTAGAAGTTAATAAAAATATAACGATTTATTATGTAAGGTCTTTACACACCACTGAAAAGATAGTTATGGATCTTCTTTCAGTAGATCCTCTGAAATATTACAGACTGAACTACTTTAAATACTGGTTTATGTTTTTGGTGTTCAAATTTACTATTGTTGTTTGTTGTCATATTTGAGTTACAGTGCCCTATAATTATTACTATTACTTATTATAACTGTTGTCATTATTAGTTATTTATACCTAACGTGGTGATTACTATCACTGGTAATATGTGTTTGCTTTGGCAATGTCAGCACCGTCTGTTCACGCCAATAAAGCTCATTAAACTGAACAAAGGAGAGACAGAAATGAGTGGAAGAAGGAAAAGTGTTGATGGAGGAGGGGAGCTGCTGCTGCCACAGCAACCAGAGCTGCCTGCTCTCAGTCAGGTCCTCGGGGAGACCCGGGTGTGTGTGTGAAGACTGGATCCAGAAACAGAATCACATTATCCTGCAACAGAAGAAGAGAGACCATGATTACTGTGGTCTGAACACACACACCCACGCAACTACACACACACACGCAACTACACACACACACCCACGCAACTACACACACACACGCAACTACACACACACACGCAACTACACACACACACGCAACTACACAAAACACGCAACTACACACACACACGCAACTACAAACACACCCACGCAACTACACACAAACACGCAACTACACACACACACGCAACTACACACACACCCACGCGACTACACACAAACACGCAACTACACACACACACGCAACTACACACACACACCCACGCAACTACACACAAACACGCAACTACACACACACACGCAACTACACACACACCCACGCAACTACACACAAACACGCAACTACACACACACACGCAACTACAAACACACCCACGCAACTACACACAAACACGCAACTACACACACACACGCAACTACACACACACCCACGCGACTACACACAAACACGCAACTACACACACACACGCAACTACACACACACACACGCAACTACACACAAACACGCAACTACACACACACACCACGCAACTACACACACACACGCAACTACACACACACACAACTACACACAAACACACGCAACTACACACACACCTACGCAACTACACACACACACGCAACTACACACACACACCCACGCAACTACACACACCCACGCAACTACACACAAACACGCAACTACACACACACACACACGCAACTACACACACCCACGCAACTACACACAAACACGCAACTACACACAAACACATGCAACTACACACAAACACATGCAATTACACACAAACACGCAACTACACACACACACGCAACTACACACAAACACGCAACTACACACACACACGCAACTACACACAAACACGCAACTACACAAACACGCAACTACACACACACACCCACGCAACTACACACCCACGCAACTACACACAAACATGCAACTACACACATACACATGCAACTACACACATACACATGCAATTACACACAAACACGCAACTACACACACACACGCAACTACACACAAACACGCAACTACACACACACGCAACTACACACACACACCCACGCAACTACACACAAACACGCAACTACACACACATGCAACTACACACAAACACACACAACTACACATACACATGCAACTACACAAACACGCATGCAACTACACACACACACGCAACTACACACACACACACGCAACTACGCACACACACACACGCAACTACACACAAACATACGCAACTACACACACACATGCAACTACACAAACACGCATGCAACTACACACACACATCCACGCAACTACACACACCCACGCAACTACACACAAACATGCAACTACACACATACACATGCAACTACACACATACACATGCAATTACACACAAACACGCAACTACACACACACACGCAACTACACACAAACACGCAACTACACACACACACGCAACTACACACACACCCACGCAACTACACACAAACACGCAACTACACATACACATGCAACTACACACAAACACACACAACTACACATACACATGCAACTACACAAACACGCATGCAACTACACACACACACGCAACTACACACACACACCCACGCAACTACACACACCCACGCAACTACACACAAACATGCAACTACACACATACACATGCAACTACACACATACACATGCAATTACACACAAACACGCAACTACACACACACGCAACTACACACAAACACGCAACTACACACACACACGCAACTACACACACACACCCACGCAACTACACACAAACACGCAACTACACATACACATGCAACTACACACAAACACACACAACTACACATACACATGCAATTACACAAACACGCATGCAACTACACACACACACGCAACTACGCACACACACACACGCAACTACACACACACACACACAACTACACACAAACACACGCAACTACACATACACATGCAATTACACAAACACGCATGCAACTACACACACACACACGCAACTACACACACACGCAACTACACACAAACATACGCAACTACACACATACACATGCAACTACACACAAACACGCAACTACACACACACACGCAACTACACACAAACACGCAACTACACACACACGCAACTACACACACACACACACGCAACTACACACAAACACGCAACTACACATACACATGCAACTACACACAAACACACGCAACTACACATACACATGCAACTACACAAACACGTATGCAACTACACACACACACGCAACTACGCACACACACACACGCAACTACGCACACACACACACGCAACTACACACAAACATACGCAACTACACATACACATGCAACTACACAAACACGTATGCAACTACACACAAACATACGCAACTACACATACACATGCAACTACACACAAACACACACAACTACACATACACATGCAATTACACAAACACGCATGCAACTACACACACACACACGCAACTACGCACACACACACGCAACTACACACACACACACACATAACTACACACACACACACACACACATATGACTACACACACACACACACACATATGACTACACACACACACACACACACACACACACACACACACATGCAACTACACACACACACACACATATGACTACACACACACACACACACATATGACTACACACACACACACACACACACACATGCAACTACACACACACACACACATAGACTACACACACACACACACACACACACACACACATGCAACTACACACACACACACATATGACTACACACACACACACACACACATATGACTACACACACACACACACACACACACACACACATGCAACTACACACACACACACATATGACTACACACACACACACACACACACACACATGCAACTACACACACACACATACACACATGCAACTAAACAACATACATAAACAAATTTAATCTAACAGTACTGACAAACAGTCTGAAAGTAGAAAGTAAGAAATACATGACAAACTGAGACCCGAAACTGTATAAACGGTGTCTTCATGGTGACTCTGTTGGAGGGAAAATACAGGAGACGTGAAATCCAAGAGAAATAAATAAAGTCTGTAATAATGAGGTTTGGGGTTATCAGTGATTTATCTTAATCAAATCCTGTTTGTGCTTTTGTGTCCGCTGAGGGAACAGTCATTTAATAAAAGTTCATTAATGGTTTTCTCTGTTTTCTGTCTTCAGCAGGAAAAAAACATTTTAATCATCACTTTTAAACAGAATGAAAGAAAAGGGAAGATATGAAACACAAATGATAAGCGACTTCTCAAATACATGTAGTACATTGTTAACACAGAAACTCATTCTGGAAAAAAGAAAACAGGAGGTATTTCCAGGTGCGCTGAATGTTAAACTGTTCTGATGAGGAGGATTTCCCAGAATAGGTTCCTTCTCTTGTACTAATCCGGCTCCAGTTGGCCTAACATTTCCACAGGTGCAGCAGGAGTAGCACATTCTTAATCAACTAAGTGGTGTTCCAAATGCTTTGTTACAGTTGTCCTAGACCCCATCAGACCAGATTCAAGAGCTGCTCAGCTGAAACGGCCCTCTTTGTGTTGTCACAGCGCACTCCCTGTCCTCTGTCCACTTAGTTCCTCGAGGCTTGATCCTTGATCCTCTTCTATTTTACTCACCTACAAAGCTCTTAATGGTCAGGCACAATCTTCTCTTAAAGAACTCATAGTAGATTACGACCCCTCCAGAGCACTGAGCTCCCACAATGCACCTGTGGTTCCTAGAGTCTCCAATGGGAGCCAGATCGTTCAGCTATGAAGCTCCTCTCCTGTGGAACCAGGTTCCAGTTTGGGTTCAGGAGGCAGACACCATCTCCACATTTAAGAGTAGGCTTATGACCACTGCTACGCTGATGACACCCAGCTGTACTTCAACACTAAACAATCCACCCAGCTCCCCCCACATTCCCTTGTTGTCTAATCGACTCAAGCTAAATAGCAACAAACAGAGCTCATTGTTGTGTCTTCCAAGGCGCTGGTCTGTCAGGTTGGAGATCTTCTCCTCAACGTGGACAACTGCTCAATGTGCCTATACCTGGGTGTCATTCTAGACTCACATCAAATCTGTCACCAAAGTGTACTTTCTGCCACCTCAGAAACATTTCCAGACTCTGGCCTCGCTCACAGACTCTGTGGCCAGTGTGTCCCAACAAAACCTGATGTTCTCGGACACAGGTCTGTTCACCAACCCCCACATCAGGCCGGTGGACTTTTGGGTACAGAGCGTCCTCCCTTTGGAACCCTCTCCTGGCAGATCCACAATGCTGCATCTTTGGACATTTTACCTACCTGTTTTGTCTGCATCTAAAGCGTCCATGGGTCAAAATGGAAGCTAATATTGTTATTTTTTATTATTATTAGTCTGAGCGAAGGATGCAGTTCAAGATTTCAGTGGAGCCTAAAATTACAAGCAAGATGAACCTCCTGATGTAAAACCTGGTTGTTTTATAATGCTCGGTAGACTTAACAAGACCCGTTGTTTTATGGTAGTGACACATGAATCTGAAGATGTTGAATGACTCAATGAAGATCTCAGGATGTACATCTCAAAATGTCTTGGGGTGGTGATGATGCAATGAATAAGACATGTGCCTTTGGTGTGAGAGATCCGGGTTCAAAGCCCCCACTTACCCATCTACCGATGCCGCCCCATTGCATAACATTAACCAGGTTATTTGTAATTATCTGTTTAGTATTTTTCGGCCCAACACTGTATGTTGTTTCTTATTTTTCAATCTTTACAAAATGTACTTATGCATTACAGATATTTTTTAATGAACCTTATTTAAACGTCTTTTTGTGTTTCCTATATGTCTTTTACATGTTCTTTTGATGCCATTATGTTTGATGTAATTCTGTTGAAGTGTGCTGCACAAATAAAAGGCAGCGACAGTCTGTCAGAGCGACCTGCTGACTTTATTCACTGTGAGGAAATCATTTCAGTACAGCCAAACAGTCATTAAAACAAGACTCACATTAAAAACAACAAAAACCCAAACAAGTGGAGCTGATTGGACACATCAGCTTTGATTGACAGCGCTATAAATGTGTGAAGACATTAACATTCACTTTCCTTTTTTCCATACAAAACAATGGTTTGTTTTTCAGTGTGGCACCACCACATACACACATACGTCTAAAACCCCATGAAGACGACTCGACATCCATTTATACAAAAACATCTTGGATATAAATACACTATTTATAATCTGTATGTTACAAAAAGAGTTTCCTCGTGAGCTCAGTGACGGGCGGAGGGGCGGCGTGATCAACCACAGTGACGTATAAATATTCAGCCAGCTACAAAATCACAAAACCCACAGAGAAAACACGGGGGCGGGGCTTTGGGGTGGGGCGTGGTTTAAGTGCTCGGGCGGGGCTTGATGAGGAGGAGCTAGAATAAAAAAGACAACTCTGAACAAGAAGATGGAGAGTCACAGTAGCCTATCAGGATGCAGGGTTTGTTTTTACAGTGGCAAGCATGAAAATAAAAAACAGACAGGCGGGGGCAGGGCTAAAGGGAGAAGGGGTGGGGCTAGTAACGGGAGGAAGATCATTTTGATTGATTACTCTTTCTTTTAGTTGATCTTTTCACTGTGCTTTCAGAAGACTGAAGGATATTTTCGGGTCAGAAATTAGTTCTTCAGAATTTTTAAAATGAGTCAAACTGGATTCACAAAGTTAGTCACAATACTGATCTCTGATTGGCCAACAGCAGAAGATGGAAATCAGTTCACATCCTGCAAAATGTCTCATTTGAATGATTTCTCAGTGAGAGGAGCCGATCAGGATCAAGTCCCTGCGTAGGACGGCTTCTCCTTCCTTGTTCCCTTTCCCTCCATCATCTCCTTCTTCACTGCAGAAATAAAGTGAACAAAGTTCTTGTTCGGTTTTTTGTTGCTGGGTTTGGTTGTATTCTGATCAAAACAAAGAACATGAACCTCCTGTTTTCCCTCACTGAGATTCATTTTCCTATTGGTCACTGAGGTATTCAGCGACCAATCAGGAGAGAGGAAGGTTCATGTTGGATTTACATTTTCTGTCATTAGGGGCCTTTAGTATCCACAATCTTCAGATGTTCTCTGTTTCTTCAACCAGCATTACATTACAAGTAGAGGAAATGATGTCACAGGTGTGACATCACAGTTTTACACCAATAGACCCCTCCCCCCCAAACACAGACGATAACATCAGAATAATTACAGAGAGCTGAAAGCACCCAGAGAAAACTGCTGTACAAAAGTCCTTTTTATTTTCTTCTTTAGAGGCTGGAGGCTCCGTCCTGACTGGTCAGCTGCTGCCTTAGGCCCCGCCTCCTGAGGCCCCAGGCCCCTCCTCCTCAGAGGTGATTGGTGCTTGTGGCTGAAGGGTCGGAGGGAGATGAGGAAGGAGGAGGAAGATTCTTTACATCGGAGGAACGACGAGGCCGGACATGGCTGCAGAGACAGAGCCAGAGGAGGAACATGATATTATATTTACAGATCAAACACACACAGCAGGCAGCAGCATCACGTGACCCCACCCCCCACCCCCCACCCCACCCCAGCCACACACAGCTGCCGCTGATTCAAGTTCAAGTTCAAGACTTATTTGATTGGCTGAATGTGTCTCATCACAGATGAAACACAGAAAAATAAATAACACCTTTCATCAGAGCCAATTCTACCTGCTGTTTCATATCTGCTCCTACATGACGTGTGAAGAACTGTCCTCAAGTTCAATAGAGGATGGAGCATTAGCATTAGCATTAGCAGTATTTTCCAGCTGTAAAACGTTTT